TAAGGAGATCAATTAACAACCAGTAAATCAAAAGGGTCCGAGATTTTGTATGAATGAACCAAGTCAGAAAGATGGAAAAGGGTTTTACTTAAGTCGAGTAACAGAGAAAAATCAGTAAACAATGGAAAGAAATCAATCAGGCTATATTCAGAAGGAATCTTGAACTAATTGCAAATTCGAAAACCATTTAGAGGGAAATTCATCATATATAAAGAGCATGTGAGCATGAAAGAAGACTGGCATGTTACTGTAAAATCTATAGAGAAATCCAGTGCAGAAGAGTTTTAGTAAAAAGGTCAAAATCACATGAAAACAAGGGAGCCCAAACTCAATTCAAAGACTCGAAGAGTTGGGGGTTCTAAAATAAAACACTAGTTCAATCAAATATATGATCAAACCTGGCAGAACCCCCAAATTTTGAGGTTTCCGCCTTGAATCAAGTACATAGATGAGAGACAAGTGGTCGAAGCAGGCTCAGAGGTTTCAGAGAAGAACTGAAACCTCTTGCATGCTTCTATCAATAGCAAAACTCATGAGAAAACATGATATCAAGGTAACAGGCAGAACACAGTAGAGGCACTCGAAGAAAAATAGAGGAAAACACTGATAGGAGCAGTAAACATGCTTAAGAAGTTTTTCAGAAGAAAATTAAACAGGGCTTAGTAGAACGAAAGTAAGGGAACTTAAGAACTTAGCAGGAAAGTACAATAGGAGAAACATGCTGGAACATAGTAGAAGAAGAATATAATAGAAAAGCATATGAGCACACAGTACGGAAAACATGGTAGCTGAACATACAAGCATGAAGCGTATAAACACATACAAGAACGGAGTATGAAACTCAGTAGAAGAACATACAAGAACAGATATACAAGAACGTGGTAGATAAAAACATAGGAGCACAGTAGAGGTAAATACACAAAAGAAAAAGAAAGTCAGTGAAACACTTAAAAAAAAATTTCAGAAAACTCTAGATCGGAAAGAAAGATTTAAAAAAAAGTAATTTTCAAAAGAAAAGTTAGGGAATCGTTTGAAAAACTCAAGGAGAGCACCGATATACAAAGAATCTAGAGAAATCGGAGAAAACCTCGGAGAGTTAGGGTTTCAGAAGAACCCTAGAAACGAGAAAGGCTTTGGAAGGTCATCGATCTGAGTCGAAGAGGTTAGAAACAGGCTCAAACAACAATAGTACGCCGGAGCAAGGCCGGAGATGGCCGTAGAACTTCGAATCGATGGAGGTCTGGGTTCGAACCTTCAAGGTCAGGCCTCGAATCTGCAGGTATCAAGCGTATAGGAGCAATAAGAGGTGAGTATAGGGCTCTCACAGCCTGGGAAGCCATGGATTCCGGTGGGTTTCACGGTGGGAGATGGTGAGACGATTAGGGTTCAGAGAAGGTTCAAGAGAGTTTGAGGGGGTGAAGGGATCCAAAGGCGGCTGGTTAGGTGAAAATGATTTAGGGTTAAGGGGTGTTGATGGATTAAAAAAGGAATGGAGGGATCGTGGTCGTTGATCATTTTGATCAACGGCCTGGATTTATTGGGGAGCCGGGGCGGGTTGGGTTAAATTGGGTCATGGGCGGGTATTTAGGAATTGGGCCGGTCCGATTGACATTGAAATTGGGTTAATTGGGGTGGTTGATTTGGGCTAAAATTGAAATAAATAGGGCTAGATTTTAAATAGCCACTTTTTCCCTTTTTATTTTGTAAAATAGTAAAATAATTTCTGAAAATAAATTAAAGGTACTAAATTTATTAATAATATATAAATATTAAGCTAAAAAATACTGGAATCAAATTTATAATTATAAACGCAATTAATTCTTAAAACAGGCTAATATTGCAATTATATGCAATTTAGCCTTAAAATACTAAATACATTTGTAAGAAATTTGCAAAAATTACTTTAGCTATATTTTGGTATAAATATGAAAATACAATAATTGAATCACAAGAAATGATCATTTGGGAAATAATTATTGATTGTTTATTGATAAAATAGGGTAATAAAATTGGTTCAAAATCTTTAAAAAATTAAAGAAAAAATAGGAAAATTCTTGGACATACTTATATATGCATTCTTATGCTATTTGAAAGTTATTTTGTATATAAAAATATACAGGGAAAAATTGGATATCAACAAAGGGCATATTTTCTTCACCTACTAACCCACTTGCAGGAGCGGCGACAAATCGGGCTTACCAACCATGGTTTTTATCGTCCTCGAGGCTAACCAAAACTCTTTTACTTCTCGCCACGAGAGTAAAGACCCCATGACGGAATAACTTGGGAGAGTAGAGATGGATTATATGGTAAAAAGAAAAGGGTAATTGAGCCACATTTGACAAATATCTAAGGCATGCCACTGCCCTCCATACAATAGGGCCAATTTGCCCTAAACATACATCAAAGAAACCACAAAATTCAATGATCACTGGGTCAATAGGTGGTCTAAAACCTAATGTGAAGGGATATGTATACACAAAGGAAAAACTAGATTTAAAGGAAGCGATCCTTTGATTTTCATTAGGAACCAGAATTGGGAAGTCAAATTTTCAATGGCAATCTTTACGCACAACAAAAACTAAACCATCAGTGATTTGGGAAGGGTAGACATCAGCGCGATCGTGAGAAGTCATGGAAGTAACCTGATTTTTATTTGATTCTTTGTCTGTGACAAAAGAAAGTTCAACAGGAATAATCTCATCGACAGTAGGTTCACGAAGCGATTCGTTAGAACCTCTATTTCTAGCAGAAGACCTGTGTGGAAGAGAATCCCTAGTTCTAGAAGAAGATGGAGGAGTAGAAGCGGGTTGAGAAGAAGAACCACGTACAGAAAGTGACCCTAAACTACGCAACGTACCACCTTTCCTACTTCTAGTAGGAGCAGAAGAAGGGGAAAGTTCGTCTATAATGAGGACTTTTCGAGGATCAGGATTTGAAGAAGACATCATTGTGCAAAGAAGTAAAACGTATTGAAGAACAAGAACAAGATGTGATAAAGGACACTGAAGAAATTTTTTTTGTAAAAGTGAAGGCAAAGGATGTATTTATATGTAGAAGCAACCGTCATACAAAAAAAGGTAATGATGGAAACGTCATTATGAAAACTGTCACTTCGTGACTGAAGCAGCCGCAAAACAGTCCTAAAACTCGCTGCAGAGTTACAGAGCCAATCGATGACTGCCACATGTCACATGCATTAAATAGAAGTGACATACGGCTCATCAGTTCAGAAAAAAGGTATAATGATATGTGAGAAACGACGGCAAAAGTTCCCGCCATAAATGGGATCCACTTCCCAAATATTCAATTGCTGAATAATTGGTAAGTGGGGGAACTATCTGTATTGGGGAAACTAAATATTACACGTGGAATTAATTATGTGGCTGACATGGCAAAACATGTGGATCACACTGGAAAAACGACAGCTGGAGAAGTGTATTAAAGAGATGTGAGTCTTAATAGGTACGAGCAAAACGTCCAAGAGACGAGAAGAAACGGTTGCTCGAGTCTCTTTAGCGATTTGAAAAAGCACCGGTGGAACGAACCAAGACGATAAAAAGGGCAGCTTCACTGAACTTCAATTAATGAGCATGAATGATAGCAAACGTTACAAAATCTTCACGAAACAGTTACTATTACCAATTATAACGTTTCATTAATGTCATTAATGTTCATAATGACTCGATCACAAAAGGGAAAAGACATTGTACTTAGAAACGACTATATAAGGAAAAGGAATAACAATTGTATGGACACGTTCTGATTATTATTGGAAAATAATTATTTATTTTTGCTTTCTATTGATTGCTTCACTATTCTAAATTTCTTTCTTACAGCAAGAATATCAATTTCCTTGATTTATCAGTAGCCCGAGTACTTCTAAAAATAGAATTTGACCGAAATATCCATTTTCTGATTAAACAAATGTAATTTTCCAGCAAAAATTGTTCATATAAAACTCCTTCCTGCCCCTAACTTCGCCCATGGTATGATTAAACTTTTTAAGGTGACTTTGATAAATCATCGAATGGCAGTTAACTAGAATCATACTTGCTGAATCTCGTCTAGAAAGAAGTTAGAATGCTCTGTCAATAACGAATAGCAGGAACACTCTGATAATATAGATATAATTACTTAGAGACTTGCATCTGCTGGTAATTCGGTCCTCATTACGTGTGTTATGAGTCCTTGACGATTTTACGATTTACTGTAACTAGGTTATTAATTAGTCAATTTCAAGTTATCATATGAAGTTTGATATAGAATATTACCTATTGATAACTTGATGGGAAACAAAATTTATATAGTTAATGTATAAAATAAGGTGATATATTAAACCCTTCCCTAGTTAAGAGCAAGTAAAACAGACAACTCACTGAACCGAATGCCAACTCTCATGGAGCAATTGCAGGCAATACGTTTCAAATAATTAACTACTCGTAATCGTGCAACTCTCGATGGAAAAGCCGTGTTCCCCCTTTCCACTCCTTTTCTTTGGAAGCATGTTACTCCTTCCGTTCCAATTTATGTGAACCTGTTTGACTGGACACGGAGTTTAAGAAAAAATGAAGATTTTTGGAATTTGTGGTCCTAAACAAGTCAAAAAGGGGCCAGAGTATTTATGTGATTATAAAAGCTTCTCATTAAGGATAGAATTATAAGTTTAAGCTAAATTGTTACCAAATTTAGAAAGGGTTCATTCTTTTTGAAACGGACCAAAAAGGAAATAGGTTCCCATAAACTGGAACAGAGGGAGTATCTTATTTCACTATTCAATTCAAGTCAATCTTTACTTATTGTGGCAAGTAGCTTATCTTATTTTCTAAATTAGAAATTCTATATTTTAAGAAGGCTGGCCTGATAATGTAAAAAATTCTATATACTCACGTACATAGCTTAAACGTTTTTTTTTTTTTTTTTTTTTTTTTTTTTTTTTTTTTTACAAGTATGAAGAAAACCAAAAAGGAGCTAGCGAACGATAACAATACGAAATGGAATAAGAGATAAACAAACTTCTTTATTATATTACGAATTTTCGAAACAAACTTATTCCTCAAACATAGTACATATATTGTCGTCGAATGTGAAAAATATTTCAAAATACAATTATAGGACTGCAGACGTCCACACAATTAGTAGACAGATTTATTACAAAAGATGTTTATATTTCATGACTATCTTCTCAAATTACTCCTCGATAGATATAACAGGATCAAGTGTAATAGGAGCACGAATTTTAGGCGATTCAACAATATTAATTAAATCATCAGCTTGACCTCCCAAATAAGCCTTGAGAAATGCCACAAAAAGCCCTCCAACAGTCCTTCTCATAGTATCCTTTGATCCCTTTCCACTTTTCATCATCCAACTAAGCAAAGCTGCCGCTCCATCATCCAACATATCAAGATGGCCATAATCCTTAGCCAAGAAATAATAACAAGGAGGCTTACTCTCGTTGAAAAACTCAGCATGATTTACCCCATTTGGTGCGGCAGGTGGACACACACCAAACGCTCGTTGATTTGACAAGCCGGAACCAATTACAGCCACGGGAATTGATTGATCGAAACTGTAAGGAATATATTGGAGAACGTTGGGAGAGCATAAACAGGACAGAGAGGATCCTGCTACTGGATCAATTCCGAGGAGTGCTGAGATTTTGAGAGGGGGTTCTAATTGGGTTGCGTTTGATGTTGAGCTGCCGCCGTGGCCTAATGCTAGGGCGAATGCTGTTTTGCCACCTCTGCTGTGGCCGGAGACGGCGACTTTCTGGAGGTCCGGAAAGACTTTCTCCGGCAGGACGGAGTCTAGGTTGTTAGTTGATAACCACTCTACTATTTTTCTTGCGTTTTTCACTTCCTGGCTTTGGCTTGCCATAGGAGAAAACTACAACAATATTTAAACAAAACTCGAATTAAATAATTAGCTAAGGGATTGGGACTTCAATCTCAAAGACCAGTCACAATTCTTAGATAATGATAACCCAAACGTTGGGACATAATGAAAATTTTGGTGTGTTTGGTATAACAAATATTTTCCAAGATGTGTTCCACATGAGAAAGTCATTTACTAGCTAGAAATATTGTTTTTTTCCCCTCTCTCACTGATTCTTTTCAAATATTCTAACTTCATATTGATTATTAAATTGGGTTAAGGAATGGATGCAGTTTGATCATATCTATGAACCAAAGTGAGATCAATCAGTATCTTCAATATGAATAGTGGCACAGTACTTAAGTGTAACGTAGTTTAATTTCTTTTTATTTGAAAAGCAAAAAAGAAACCATGAGAAGTCCAACAGCAGAACTCAATACCTGAGGAGCGACGATGATATATTGATGGGAAGAAATGTGTAGAAGGAGGGATTTGTAACAGTTGGGCTGGAGCATGAAACCATGGAAAAAGAGTAAAACGGGATAGGATCCTTGTGTAGTGGGCGAAAACACTAACAATGGACATGGCAGAAGATCAAAGAGAAATGAGCGCTTAACGTTTATTATCTCAACAGCCTCATCTCCTACTTGAAAATCTAATGCTATACCATCATCCCCTACCTTCTTTGCCATCTCTCTCTCTCTCTCTCTCTCTCTCTGTATACGTGCTTCTGTTGCATGCAGCAAAGTCTCTTGATTTATAGTGAATGCAATATATGAAACCTTAGCTTGGGCAGTTAATGAGCTTAAATGGGCAAAACCTCACTGGCTCAATGGTTAATGTTAGAATTTACTTCATCCGTCTCAATTTAGATGACGTAGTTTTACTTGCTACGGAGTTTAAGAAGAAGAACAAAGACTTTAGGAATTTGTGGCCTTAAAAACTTTGTAAGGTCATGACATTTGTATGGTTATAGAAGCTTTTCATTAATGATAAAATGGGTAAAATGAAGAATTTGAAGTTTGAGTTATTTTCAATTGTAGAAATGTGACATTCTTTTTTGAAGGGACTAATAAGAAAAGTGTGTCATATAAATTAAAACAGATGGAGTAACTTATATAGTACATGAACATTAATGTATCTTATGGGCAAACAAATTTTTGAAACATTTGGATTGGATCTGATTTTCACAATTTCCTTTTTCCTTTTTCCCTCCCCATCCACATATATAATGAGATTCTTTTAAAAATGATTAAATTATAATCCCATGACCTGAACATTAAGATTTATCACTGTTTTCCCGATGACAGTAATATAGTAGGAGTACATCTTTAACAAAAAATGAACTTTCTTGCTTGTTTCTTCTTTTCCTTTAGGGTAAAGCAAAACGTGCTTCTTTGTTTTAACGTTATTAGCAGAGACGTGTGGAAGCTGTCAGAATATAATTCAACTTTGTTTGTCGATATTTGTCTAATCATATCTCCAGTTTTGCATATTTTTACTAGGCAAATTAATTGAACCCTTTTTTTTTTTTGACAAAACAAAGATAATATATTTAAACATTACGAAATACCATCACTTACATTATTAAGGAAATTACATGCCTTAAGGACGTTCATATTGCCCATCGCGGCTAAACTGCAACATACATCAGTACGAATGTTTTTTACCAAATACACATAACCATACTTATCGATTGCTAGGTTATTTAACACAAAAGGGGTTGGTTTATCAAAAAGTTGGTGTTCTTTTGCATGTTTGAGTGCCTCCTGGCCATCTTGTGAGCTATCTTGTTTCCTTCTCGAAAGTTATAGCTAATTTTCGTCTGCTTCAACTGGTGCATTAACCACCTGCATGTAAAAATAGTCGAGTTGTGAGGAACACAGTCAGAGTGTAGTGTCTTGATTACCTCTGTTGCGTCAGTTTTGATGACCAGGGGTGTATATCCGTGAGTTAGTGCAATTGTGAGGCCTTCCTTGAGGGCTTCTAATTCCGCCTGTAGGGGGAGCTTGAGGGGCAGGAGTGTTGATATCCCATTATCCACTTTCCCGTATGATCTCTAAATACTCTTATGCCTTCCATATTTGAATTTTCTCTGAAAGCCCCATCAAGGATTAATTTGCAAAAGTTTTGAGGCGGTTTGTGCCATGCAACCTCAATTGCATGGGAATGAACAGAGAAATGTTCTTTTATGGTGAGGAGCTTATATTCTATTGCTAGAGAAATTGCGTGTGTGGGATTATAATAATTCATAGTCATGTTTGAATGATTATTGTTATTATTTCGGTTTATCCAAATACTCCACATGACAAAGGGTAGAGATCATCCCATGTAAGGTAAGGAGAGGGTGTGGTTGAGTTTAAGTTTCTAATACTGTGGGGCCAGTGCGTGGCATTTTGATTGGTAGAAATACTTAAGCCCATTGTTGCCCAATAATGCACGACTGCTTTACACTCTGTAAAAATGTGCTCGATTGTTTCATCTTCCTTTTTACACACCCGACATGTAGGGTCAATATTTAAGTCTATATGGTTAAGGTATGATCGAGTAGGTAGCTTTTTATGTAGGCATTTTCATAGCAAGAATTTTATCTTATTTGGGCTGCGTGTATCCTAAATCCACTTAAAGTCCTCAGAGTTGTTTTCATTTGATTGAATTAATTTATAGCGACTTTTTGTCAAAAAAATTCCAGTTCCCATTAATTCCCAGTGACAGGAGTCATAAGATTTATCTAGAGGATGAATTGAGAGGATAGCATTCCTAATGGGTTAGGGTAGGTCAAAGGTTATTTTTGTTAAATCCAATTTATTATCTGACCAAATGTCTTTGAAGGTAAGTTTATTGCTAGGAATTATGAGAGGTCCCTCTATTTGATATCTAAGCAAAGGAGATTTTGTAACGACCCGACCGGTCGTTTTACTTTTTAAAACTCCGTTTCCCTAAGTAAAACTTTTCGCACTTGCTTTAGCTAATTTACGACTTGCGGGGGAGGTTGGTTCGGGATTTAGAAGGATTTGGGTTGATATAAGCCCACTTGAATCCTTAAAATTTTCTTAAAAGGTCAAGTTTGACTTTGGCCAACATTTCTAGTAAACGGACTCGGATCTGTGTTTTAACGGTCCCGGAGGGTCCGTAGGAAAATATGGGACCTGGGCGTATACCCGGAATCGAATTCTGAGGTCCCAAGCCCGAGAAATAAAATTTTATTAGAAATTGTTAAAACTGAAATTTCAAGGATTTAAAGAAACTAAATAATGATTAATCACATTGGTATTGGGCTCGTATGTTGGTTCCGGAGCCCAGTACAGGTCCAATATAACATTTAAGACCTTCCCTCAAAATTTGGTGTCAATCCGAGTAGTCTAAGTACGTTTCGGCTCGTTGGAAGTGAATTAAGAACTTGAAGTTCATAAGTTTAATTCAATTGGTTTTAGGGGTGATTCTTAGATTTAGCGTTGTTTCGGGTGATTCGAAGGTTCGAGCAACTCCATTTCATGATTTCAGACTTGTCGGTATGCTCGGGCGGGGCACGGGAGCCCCGAGCGTCAACCGGATGAGGCCTGAGTGAAGTTGAAAAAAATTGAGAAGTGCTGAAGCTTCAGTTGCTGTCATAACCGCACCTACGGTTTGTCAGCCGCATGTGCGGTTAACCCATCGCAGATGCGGCCCAGGGCTGGCCAGGCTAAACGCAGAAGCGGCTATACAGCCAGGGGCCAACCAGTCGAGGAGGCGACCTGGGAGTCCGAGGAGGACATGCAGAGCAGATATCCACACTTATTCGGCACCTCAGGTACTTTCCTATGTCCGTTCGAGGATGAACGTTTGTTTAAGAGGTGGAGAATGTAACGACCCGACCGGTCATTTTACTTTTTAAAACCCCGTTCTCCTAAATAAAATTTTCCGCACTTGCTTTAGCTAATTTACGACTTGCGGGGGTGGTTGGTTCGGGATTTGGAAGGGTTTGGGTTGATATAACCCCACTTGAATCCTTAAGATTTTCTTAAAAGGCCAAGTTTGACTTTCGTCAACATTTCTAGGAAACGGACTCGGATCTATATTTTGACGGTCACGGAGGGTCCGTAGGAAAATATGGAACCTGAGCGTATGCTCGGAATCGAATTCCGAGGTCCCTAGCCCGAGAAATGATTTTTTATTAGAAATTGTTAAATCTGAAATTTCAAGGATTTAAAGAAACTAAATAATGATTAATCACATTGGTATCGGGCTTGTATGTTGGTTCCGGAGCCCAGTACAGGTTCAATATAACATTTAAGACCTTCCCTCAAAATTTGGTGTCAATCCGAGTAGTCTAAGTACGTTTCGGCTCGTTGGAAGTGAATTAAGAACTTGAAGTTCATAAGTTTGATTCAATTGGTTTTAGGGGTGATTCTTAGATTTAGCGTTGTTTCGGGTGATCCGAAGGCTCGAGCAAGTTCGTTTCATGATTTCACACTTGTCGGTATGCTCAGGCAGGGCCCGAGAGCCCCGAGCGTCAATGGGACGAGGCCCGAGTGAAGTTGGAAAAAATTGAGAAGTGCTGAAGCTTCAGTTGCTGTCATAACCGCACCTGCGGTTGGTCAGCCGCATGTGCGGTCAACCCATCGCAGATGCGACCCAGGGCTGGCCAGGCCAAACGCAGAAGCGGCTCTACAGCCGCAGAAGCGGCTTCGCAGAAGCAGCTTCAAGACCGCAGAAGNCAGAAGCGGCTCTACAGCCAGGGGCCAACCAGTCGAGGAGGCGACCTGGGAGTCCGTGGAGGACATGCGGAGCAGATATCCACACTTATTCGGCACCTCAGGTACTTTCCTATGTCCGTTCGAGGACGAACATTTGTATAAGAGGTGGAGAATGTAACAACCCGATCGGTTGTATTACTTTTTAAAACCCCGTTCCCCTAAATAAAACTTCCCGCGCTTGCTTTAGCTAATTTACGACTTGCGGGGGTGGTTGGTTCGGGATTTGGAGGGTTTTGGGTTGATATAAGCCCACTTGAATCCTTAAGATTTTCTTAAATGGCCAAGTTTGACTTTGGTCAACATTTCTAGCAAACGGACTCGGATCTGTATTTTGCTGGTCCCGGAGGGTCCGTAGGAAAATATGGGACCTGGGCGTATGCCCGGAATCGAATTCCGAGGTCCATAGCCCTAGAATTGAATTTTTATTAGAAATTGTTAAAAATGAAATTTCAAGGACTTAAAGAAACTAAATAATGATTAATTACATTGGTATCGGGCTCGTATGTTGGTTCCGGAGCCCAGTACAGGTCCAATATGACATTTAAGACCTTCCCTCCAAATTTGGTGTCAATCCGAGTAGTCTAAGTACGTTTCGGCTGGTTGGAAGTGAATTAAGAACTTGAAGTTCATAAGTTTGATTCAATTGGTTTTAGGGGGTGATTCTTAGATTTAGCGTTGTTTCGGGTGATCCGAAGGTTCGAGCAAGTCCGTTTCATGATTCAGACTTGTCGGTATGCTCGGGCGGGGCCCGAGAGCCCCGAGGGTCAATCGGACGAGGCTCGAGTGAAGTTGGAAAAAATTGAGAAGTGCTGAAGCTTCAGTTACTGTCATAACCGCACCTGCGGTTGGTCAGTGTGCGAGACCGCAGGTGCGGTCAACCCATCGCAGATGCGGCCCAGGGCTGGCCAGGCCAAACCGCAGAAGCGGCTCTTCAGCCGCAGAAGTGGCTTCAAGACCGAAGAAGCGGTCCCAGCCCGCTTGGCCAATTCCGTAGATGCGGCCAACCTACCGTAGAAGCGGGACCGCAGATGCGGTCCCTTGACCGCAGATGCGT